AGTGCTGATGGTGTTCATATTGCAGCCTCTTGGGAGACATATTTACAGAATAATGGCATCTCCTCAAAATAAAGTTTGATCTGGAGTTTGTAACAGTTAAGCAGGGATGGGGAACACCATTTTTTGAGCCTGAATGTGAGGGGTCATCTGCAGAATACATCGGAGTAGGGAAAGTATAAGACAGGGAGACCTTTTAAGACATTATTGAAGAGTGGGATATTGAGTTACTTGAGTAGTGAAAGCAAAAAAGATCAGGGAACATTTGAGACTTGTTGATAGTGCCGTATGTAAGATCAAAGGGTCTTAGAACCTGTGGGAAGCAACCCTGAGTTTACCACGTCATTCTGAAGAATGAAGTCCTGAGATGGGACTTTGCTTTTTCAAAGTCATAGAGCTAGAGCCACATTCATACAATTTCTCAGTCAATTGGCTTGTTTAAATTAATTTTATGCTTTTGTATTCAGTGTTACAATCCTCAATTACTAAATTAATACTCTCTGCTTGCTACCTTCTAAATTATATCTTCAATCCTTATTGCACTCCTAGACACAGTTAGACATCATAATATGTTTTTAACTCTATCACAGTGTCTTTGGCATTCGCCAGTTCTATAGCTGATAGGCTAAATTCTCCTTGGATTTATCACAGATTTCTCCTTGAAGGCCTGCCTGTCTTTTTATTGTGGTATTTTCACCAACTGAATATTTTATGTTGAATTGGTTCTGACTCATAGCAGCTCTGCAGGACAGAATAGAACTGTCTATAGGCTTCCCCAGGCTTTAATGAAATCTTTACTGGAGCTCACTGACTGTTGCATCTTTCTTCTGTGGAGCAGCTGGTGGCTTGGAGTCATCATCCTTTTGATTAGCAGCCAGATTTTCTTTACCACCAGCCACTAGGACTCTTGGGATTTGCATTTAGATTATTGTAATTACGTACTTGGATTCATCTGCATTGCTTTTTTTTAAAAAAAAGGAGAATCTCTCTCATACTCTGTACTACAAACCTTATTAGCTTATTTCTTGGTGTCTCTTATATGGGGAGGGGTTGCCTTGTGCCTTAGGGGTAAGGAGGTGTGCTGGCAAAGGCAGGCAGTTCAATCTCCAGGTACTCCGAGAGAGAAAGAGAGGTGGCCTCCTTTTGTGTGATTTACAATTTCATTACCCACTAGAGTATGAGCTGTGAATTGAAACTGGAAAACACCGCAACAATAACATAGAAATATTCTTTTAAAAGGCTGCCCATTAGAATAGAGACATTTGAGTTCTTGACCATACACAAAGTGTATCTTTGTCCACCTACCTGTTCCGAAATCATTTCTTCTCCTTGGAATTTCTTTCATGTGTTTAAGGTGCATAAGATGACAAATTGGAGGGGCTCTTAAATATTGTTGTAGCCAAATTCTCTTATTTTATAGACAAAAAACCCTATGGTCCTAGGAAATTGGAGCTTTTCTGAGATTCATTTTAAGTGACAGTTAAAGACACTTGCTGTAGGAAATGGAGATGATTCCAATTTCAGCTCAGTCTATTTCAAAGCATTCTTATGAAGATTAATTAGAAACATATATGAATATATAAAATGGAAATATCCTCATCAAAGTTTTTCTCTCCAGGCAAGTCAGTACTTTAAAAAAAATTTTAAATGGAATGAAATTTTAGAACGTTAGAAGACTTTCCTTTTGCGAGAAAGATGGACACTCTCCTCTTTAAGCCATTTATAGCTTCTGAAAATTTGCTGAAGGGTCCGCCATGAATTGATTCCAGCTTGATGGTATTGATTGTGGTGTTTTTTCCCCATTAGATTATAAATTCCTTGATGGTCATGATTTTAGCTGTCATTCCAGCCCTTGAATTGATATTGTACATTTTGTTGAGTTGGTACCCATTGACCCATAACAGAACCTCCAGCGGGTTTTCAGAGGCAGGTAATTGCACAGGAGGAGATTGTCCATCCTTCTCCTGCAGAGCAACTGGTGGATTTGAACTGTGTGTCCTCAAGATTGCAGTGGTTTCTTAACCGCCTAAGGAACACGAAATCACAAAGTTCGTTAATAGCCAAGTCCAAACTCAAACCTGAAGTACAATATTCAGCCCATCTCTTTAGGCTGCAGTGCACAACAAAGTTCCTGGTGCATAATTAGAGCTCATGTTTGCATTCTAGAGAGCAGGCACAGAGCAGTTATGGCACAGTGAGATCCATGCCTCTGTGGGGAAACATTCACAGTCAAATGAGAGTGGAGTCAGGGACTGTCCCTTATCTCCAGCATAGCGGTTGTGTTCTGGGGGTTGTCTGAACAGATTGTGAAAGGATTTCTTTTCATTCTTTTGAGCCATTGTCTAAAATCAGCAGGCAATTCCTATGCGTAAATCCCTAAGCTTAAAAAGCACATGTCTTCCCAATTTTCCCCTTCATCTAAGCTATTTTTGCCTTTTGGGGATTATTGAGGGTGTTGTGGTAAAGTGCTTGTGTCTTCATGAAGAGCTTGGCATTTCTGCCCCACACAGCAGTTTTGGGGGAGTATTGCCCAGGGAGGAATCTGCTTCTATCAAGGGTACACCCGCAGAAACTGCATGGGACAATTCTTCTCTGCCCCATGAGTTGGCCGTGAATCACCTCGTGGAATTGTGCGCCTTGTTATTACTGGGTCCTGTGGAGGTGACTGTGACTCCTGTGACCTGAGGAGCGTCTGATCTGAACTCTGTGCTGTCAAGCACCATCCTCATCATCTCTGATTGGCCCAAGCCTAAGCCCAAGCACATTGGCACAGTCACAGTGTCAGTGCATCTTTCTGAAAGTTTTCCTGTAGGGCTTTGAGTGGCTTACCTTTTGACAATAAATTGTCAGGCCTTTCTTCTGAGATACCCTTTGGTGGACTCAGACTTAAACATTTAGTTAGCACATACTTTAACTGTCTGTACTACTCATGGAATCTATGATTGTCGTAATGCTCAGGGAATATACATGGTCATTTCTGCTGCCATAAACTTTCTAAGTGGTCAAGTCACTGAGGATGGGAAGTTACTGGAGCGGAGGATGGATTGGGATTCCTGTCAGTGATGTATTTACCGTAGTATAGACTCTGGGAATGAGTTCTGCTTGCGTCCATACCCACACCCTGTGATCTAATCCTCTCTCCTCTCCTGGCTTTGTAGGCAAGGGAGCACTCAGCTTTGCGTTGCTCCTTTCTTTGTTACACACTAAATAGCACCATCTTTCCTCTTCATGTAATTGCGTGCAGGGTGACTCTCTGAAATTATTGTATTACTTGGGAAACATTGACATATCCTAGATTAAATAATACTTTTCCTTTTTATCTTAAATCCAAACAGAAAATGCCCGAAAAACAACAGAGGACGGCGACAGAAGCAAAACTTAGGTCATTTTACTTCAGATACGTCATCCAGAATGGTTTAAGCCGATGACTTTTATAAGTACCCTGACCATGTGATGTACATGTATTATGTCTTTTTTTAAATAATGGAAATATTTATTTCAGAGGCCTTATTTTTGGACATTTTTAGTGTAGTACTGTTGGCTCGTATTTAGAAATATTCAACTACAACAGTTTTGGACTGTTTAGTAGTCTTTGTTTTATGTTTTTAAATACAGAAATTGTTTTCTCGAATTTGTACCACATGGTGATTCTAAGAACTTGTTCTTTACCCGTGGAATGTACTATTTTTGCAAACATGGGCCACTTCACAAATGGTTATAGAGTTTTACCCACTGTTTCCATACTGACCGCGGCAATGGCAAAGCATGAACTAAACGTAAAGATGTTTACAGATTACTTTTCTTACAAAAAGAGAAAAAGAAAAAGAAAAATCTAGAAGACACTGTGTTTAAATAGATATTTAAATGTTTTTGAGATTTAGTAATGGATTTTTTTTAGACACTGCCTATTGCATGAAATGTAAAACTGTGCGTGTTAGATGTAAGATATTTATGAGATGTGTGGCCTGGAATTTGGTTATTCCTCTTTTAGGGGGGAAAAAAATTTCCAACAATTTGCAAAAGTGTCTGGCAGTAATGAGGGAACAGATTGCTGAGAAGTAGATTTAGGTATTGTGAAAATAGGCTGTTTAACAGATTGGAATAAAGTTGACTATCAGTTAAACCACTTTAAACATGCATTCGTTTTTTAAAAGAAAATACTTGTTTTAACATAAATATGAAAATTGTATCAGTGTTTGTGGATAAAATACAAAAATGATTGTTAAAGATTGGTGCTCTTAATGTGAGCTTAAAAAAATGACCCGAGATCTCCATCTAAATTGTCCTGTAGTGATAGCTCTATTCATAGGTTGTCCTTTACAAACCTGAAGTGTGACTAGAATGTACTCAGCCATTTAACATGTAGTTTAGATGTTGAGAAGTGTGCATGTAGAATTTTAAGACTATGTTAAAAAATAAATATTAAAATATTTGATTTGGAAAAGCATGTTATAATATAATGTTTTCACTATCTGGCCTCAGTTCTGGTGTGTTTATTTACTTCAGTCTTTGATATTGCTTAAGTAGTACATTTTATAAGTCAAATGAACAGGAAAAAATTATTTTCAAAAATTTTTCTTCCTTTAAAATAATACTTGAAAATATCTAAAGAAAAATAACCTTTGCCCAGCCATTGACATTAGGTATTTTTTTGTTTGTTTTCATATTTTTTTGTGTTTTGTTTTTTGCCATTTGGTTTCTGTGCCAAATTAATATTAGTGAAATAGTGGCTTAGGTGAACTTTTTAAAAAGCATTCCTCTTCTTATTTGAGTCCCTTAGTCAGTCAGCAAGCATGTTTGGAACAGTACCCAGAACTTTGCAAGGGTTCATATTTCAGACAGTCACGTATGGGTATTTGTAGTTATAAATACTTGACCATTCTCCAGGGGTGGGGTTTCCAACTCTTTCTTTAAAACAACCCAGTTGCCTGTTATCAAGCTAACTCTTAGCTACAAGTGCCAGACTAGATTGTGGTAAGACATCTTTTATTGAAAAAAATTAAATGGAGCATAATGAGTCTGCCCCAGATGCTGATAAAATCCACCAGAATCGCTTGTCGAGCGTTAACAGAAGATGAAGACCAAGACGCAGCTCTCACCATTGTGACTGTGCTGGACAAAGTAGCTTCCATCGTGGACAGTGTGCAGGCAAGTCAGAAGAGGATCGAAGAGAGACACAGGGAGATGGAAAACGCCATCAAATCTGTGCAGATTGACGTGTTAAAGCTCTCCCAGTCACACAGCAACATGGGCTATCTTGTGAACAAGCTGTTTGAGAAAACCCGGAAAATCAGTGCTCACATTAAAGATGTGAAGGCCCGTGTAGAGAAGCAACAAGTGCATGTTACTAAAGTTGAATCCAAGCAAGAGGAGATCATGAAGAAAAATAAATTCCGTGTGGTCATCTTCCAGGTAAGGTTGGCCTTGCTCTTTAGCTGATTTCTCTGATCTCTTTCGTCCTCTTTAATTGCAGCAGATCATAGCAGAGGTTTCCAGTGTCACACTTTAACTGTGGCACATATACAGATGTAATACAGTTCTCTGCAATAATCAGGGGGCATAATAATTTCATTGGTAATTAATTATGCACTGTCAATATTTTGAGCCTCTTACTAATTTTGCATAACATGACCTGTGGATCATAGATAGCTTAGGCTATTTCTTACCTTTGAAACTTAATATTGGTAAGGTTCCTTTGGCATATTCCCTTTGCATAAGGCCCTCTAGTAGCTTAACTTCTAGTTAACCCTAGTCTAGCTTCTTTGTTCCGAAGAAGAAACCAAGGACTAGCTGTCCCCACAATATAGGTAGTTTTGATTTTTTATCTTTCTACAGAGTTTCTAGAAAGCCCAAAGCAATAAAGTTCAAATACTTTTTTGTTTCCCCCATGTAACTATTAGTAAGAAGAGCTATCTATTCTCTAAATGAATAAACATGCAGTTTTTATTTGTTGTAGGAGCATAAACCTGTTTTACGTAAACAATTATTTGTATTTTATTGCAAAACTTGTTCTGCTTTGCCAAATTAATCTTGTTTTTATGTGTCATTATACATTGCGCTAACTTCTGTATTTAATGTCATATTTAGGAATATCTGAGGCAAATATATAATATCAGGTAGAAACACACAGAAGTCATTATCAGGTAGTTGGCAAAAGACAGAGTTAATAACAGAATTCCACATCTACCTATTTAAATATTGGCAGATAGTATGTTCCCAGTGTTTAAAGTAAAGAAAAAAAGCTTTTTTTTATTTACTTGGTGAGAGTGTGGATTGAAGCAGTATTTCTGGAGGGCTGCTTTGGTAGTAAGTATTAAGAACTAACAATTCACAAACCTTTGACCCAAATATTTCATGTCAAAAAATTTATTCTAAGCAGAAAGTCAGAAATGAATGCAAGAGTGTTCTCTAGTGCATACATACAGTGTTCTCATAGCTGTATTTTTAAAATGGGTGTTTATTTGCATGGGGAAACCCCCCAAAAAAGAATGAAAACAAAATGGGGAACATACTTGGATTATGTAGGCAAGGTATTTGTAAGATGCTGAGGATGTAGAAATACTCCCCCACAACGTTCTTTACACATTAGTCAATTCACCAGCTGATAAAGTTACACTGGGATGGGCAGGATGGTATTTGAAGTCCGTTTTTAAGAATCTGTTATTTATGAAACAGAAAAAGGAAACAAGAAAAAGAAGTTATTTATTTCAAATGAAGCCAGGTTGAACGATGTAATTGAAAAATCTTTACCATTTCTTTTCTTCCAGTCACTGGAAGCCCTTTTCCAGGTTTAGAAGTTTGGAAGTTAAAAAAAAAATAGTGACCAGGGACCAGTCCTAGACTTAATATGTGGGAGGGAGATCTAGATTTGATGTTGGGAATATAGTATCTGTTCCTCAATTTGACCTTCAAGGACATTGCCAGTAATGTGTACACCTTATCCTCCACCTACTTGGGGCATACGAAAACCATTCTTGGTATCCATCACCTCTGTGAAGCTTTGTGTAAAACAATGGACCAGGTGCCAGTCAAGATTTACAAAGGCTAAAGCAAATTGTTGTTGGTGGGTGCCGTCGAGTTAAGTACAACTCATAGTGACCTTAAGAACAGCCGACTGGAACCCTTCCTGTCATCCTGCACCATCCTCATCGTTTCTCACACACTTGAGCCCATTTTGCAGTCACTGTGCCAGCTCATTTTGTTGAGAGTCTTCCTTTCTTTAGCCGACCCTCCACCTTTCCAAGCATGAGGTCCTGTTTCAAAGAAGATTCTCTCCTGACAGTATGCCCAGATTATGAAGCTTTGTCATCCTTGCCTCCAAGCAGCATTCTGACTATACATTTTTCCAAGACATATCTGTTCTTTTGACATGACAGTTCCTAGGACATTCTTCTCCAACACCACAACTCAAAGGCATCAATTTTTCTTCCTTATTCATTGTCCAGCTCTCGGATGCATAGCAAGTGATTGAAAAAATCATGGCTTGAATCAGGTGTACCTTAGTCTTCAAACTGACATCATTGCTCCTCAGTAATTTGGAGAGGTTCCTACCTATATAGAGTTTTCTAGTGCAGTGCATCTTCTAATCCTGTGAGTGCTAGTACCAAGGGTGTTGATTGGGGATCCAAGTAAGACAAAGGAAAATGATGTCTAGAAAATTGTAATTGAGATGCTTTAATATTTACTTAATACCCTAATTTGGGCTCTTTCTTAGATCACAGAGAACTCTAGTGCCTCAGTGGTGAGAAACTGCACTGCATAATCAAAGACAGGTGGTTTGAATCCACCAGCTGCTCCATGGAGGAAGGACAAACAGTCTCCTCCCAAGCAGTTTGCTGCCTCTGAAAACCAGCTGGAGGGTCAGCTGTGGGCCGGTTCCAACTTGACAGCACACAACAACATAATTAACTGAGAAGAGAGTATGAAAAAGCAGCTTTTAAGAGGCTATTACTTTAGGTCAGGATCTTTTTCTTCAGAAGACGTGATGCTGTGAAAATTCTTTGAAGTTGTTCAGAGAAAGCAGTGTAAAAACAACAACAACCTACAATTGCTGTTTCTAATTGGGGAATCCCAAAGTGATTTGATGAAGGCAAATAATAATGGACATAGAATATAGATTCAGTGGTTCATTAACAGAACATGGTTTGTTGGTGGTTTTTGATACGTGTCTTCAAGTCAGAACTGACCTTCAAGTGGGTCTGCTCTGAGAAAAGGCAGTAAATGACTATGGAGACTGCCCATCTTTCTCCTGAGGAGCAGCTGATGATTTCAAACGTCGTGCAACTTCTTCACTAGGTCACCAAAGCTCCCTTTCACATGGTTGCTCTTAGTTAAAATTAGTTCTTACAATTTCTATAGTTAATATTTTCACGTGATTATTTTGGACATACTTCCTGTTGAGCTGAGCAGTACGGCTATAATATTTTCTCTGGGTATATATTTTAGTGGTAATTTCTATTGGTAGTTTACTTCCTCTGTTTGCACATATATCTAAGATCTCACCAAACCCTAGACATTGGCTTTTAAAAAGAAACAGTCTGCTATTTTTTTATGCACTTACAGCTTCTCTTTGAACCTACTTTCACCTCTGTGATCCCACTGAGGTCTGCACAGGACAGGACAATATCTTACACAGATTTGATGACTCGCCGCAACATGCCTGTCATTACCAAATAAGATACTTAGTCATTTCCTAGGAAATCACTAATTTTTATATATTTAAATTTTCCTTAATGAAATTACTTTAGCGTTCAGATAAGACCACTTTACTGTGATTCATAATATTCATCTTGTTGCCAAAAAGTCATCTTTTTCTATGAATTTTTTAAATGATACATGATAATTGTATTTGGAAACCAGCTATAATGAAACATTCTGATCTTCAGTTCTTATTGCAATGCTTTCACTGTTAACTCCACTGGGCTTACCGGGGCTGTGATAGATAGATAGATCCATCCTTAGAAGTCTTTTCTTTGATTACCTATGTTTTGTTTTAAAGCCTTATTTATGATCAGTTAATTGTACAATTGAATGACTAATGTGTGCCCGTTGAGTTGAGCTTTGTCAGGATTCCTCACGGGCACCGGGGTTGTGAGCATGTTTTTCCTGACCAAGCCATAATTATCCTGGGACTCCTCCCTTTTCTAATTATACCCTCTCAGGCCACGCCAGCCCACACTGTGCTGCTGAAGCTACTCCCTGCAGCAGGTGTCAGGAAAGTGGAGGAATACTTTCATCTGCTTCTGACTGATTCATCAGTTATGAGACACCCACCTCGGCCTTTTTTTAGCTCATAGACTCTTCACTACCTTAGCCAAAGAACCTAAAATAATTTTCAGATAAGTATCCAAAGGTTCCAGGAATACCTTCTCAACTATCACATTGATTGGTTTTGGAATATATGTAGAAGTATTTCTTAAATATTTTTTTTAACTGAGTAGATCCAAATCTAGATCTCAAATAGAAATATATGGGAATATTAACTCATGATTCAGTTAAAAATCTCATTCTCTTTAGTTTGTCTATTTAATTTTAGACACAATTACTGAATAGTTCAGCTCATTTAGCAGTTGAGGCCTCAAGGTCACCAGTGTGAGACATCTTCCCGAATTTAACCCTCATTGTTTTGACACATTTGACACAATTGGTTCCGTTCTCTTCCCTGTAACTCTATCCCCCTGGTCCCTGAAGGTACACTTCCCTCCTGGGTGTTCTTTTGGTGACTGGCTGGTAAATAGCCCTGATGGTGCAGCAGTAACCAAGAGCCTCTGTGAACCCACCAGCCACTCTGCAGGAGATAGATGTGGTGGTCTTACTCCGTAAAGATGCCGAGCCTTGAAAACCCGCAAGGCAGCCCTGCTGTGTCTTACAGGGTTGTTTTGAGTTGGAATTGACATAATGACAGTGGATGATGGGCTTGGCCTTTCCCTCCACAGGTGATATTTTTCTCTCCCGCTTCCATATCTTTCTGTCTACAGAACTAAAAAATAACTTTAAAGTTCTAAAATTCCCACAATATCTGTGACCCAGGGACATATTCATGCCTGAATATGGCCTGAGCAATGGGAGGCTGGATGTGCCGTTAACTGAGATGGGGAAACCGGCAAAAGAAAGACTAGAGGGGAAATTTTTTCCTATGACTTAACTTGGTGGCAAAACCTAGCTTGACTCAAACTTGTTTGATGGTATAGTGTGACTGAAATAACATGAGGCCATTTATGGGTGGGTTTTTTTTTAAAATGCTCATTTTTTAAGATAATTTTTTTAATTTATTCTTTTTATGTGTGTACCGTCAAATTGGATCTGACTGGTACAAGAGGCGATTGTTCCTCCTTCTTCAGCAGAGCATCTGGAGGATTTGAACCGCACACCTCTGGGATTACAGTGCAGTTTCCTGCCACTAGGCCACCAGAGCTCACCCCATTTATGGTTTTTATCCCTGTAGTATAAATATTCATTTTTCTGTTTAGAAATCTTCCTCTTTATTATCTCACTGGGAATGTTATGTAATATATTATTTTCCTAAAATCTAAATGCTTTGGAATTCTGAAACATACTTTGACCCCAAGAAATTTTGTATCATTAATTGCTGATTCATTCACTCAATCTCTTAGTGATCTCTCTCATTTTAATTCTGTATTTACATTGTTGTTGTTAATGTGCCGTCAAGTCACCTGCTATTCATAGCAACCCTGTGTATAGCAGCTCTGAAGCCTGCCCTGTCCAGAATCAGTCTCACTGATTCTACCACACCAATTTCTAATTGCCCCAGTTCCTGTATCAATTCATCTCCTGCAGGGTCTTCTTCTCCTATACCGTCCCTCCACTCTTCCAAGTATGATGTCCTTCTCCAAGGACCAGTTCCTCCTGGCCACCAGCCAAAAGTATATGAGACAGAGCTTCAAAATCCTAGCCTCCAAGGAGAAACTTGGTTTCACCCTCTCCAAGACAGACCTATTTGTTTTCTTGGCAGTCCATGGTATGTTCAAGACTCTTCTCCAGCAGCACAACTCAAAGGTATAAATTCTTCTTCTGTTATCCTTAGTCATTGTCCAGCTCACTGATGCACAGCAAGCAATGCAAAGACCATGGTCTGAATTAGGTGCACCTTAGTCTCCAGACTGACTGACATTGCTTTTCAGTACTCTGGAGAGGTTCCTGACAGCAGATTTTCCCAATACAATTTGTCTTCTGATTTTCCGACTGCTGGTACAAAGAGGTTGATGGTTTCTAAAGTTTTGTCTTTAGCCTACAGCTCTTTCTCCTCAACTCCAGACTGCTTTATCCACTTGCCTATCCAGTGTCTCCACTTTGATGTTCATTGATTATCGGAGAGATGATGTTTAGGTCCATCTTTCTCCTCTAGTCTCTTTCTCTTGCTGGCTTCCTCATCTTAGTTAATAACACATCTATCTTCCTGTTGTTCAGGCATGAATGAGTTATGAATGAATTTGTGGGTTAAGTCCCTGGGTTATGAATGAGTTCTTTAAGAATTTGTAGATAAGTTGGAAAAGGCTCAGAATCTTTGCAGTGTTTTCAAATCTGTATGTGCAGCAGTTGAAGGTGATTTTGAGTAAGGATTTGTTGTAAACAAGGATTCGTTCAATCATTTTAAAGTGAAGGCAAATGATGTTACATTAAAGGGCAAATAAAAGTCACTCTGGGTTGGCTGTTTGTAATATGAGGACTTGCATGCACTTGAGAGTTATCCTTGATGCTCTTCCACACTCCCAAGTCTGGCAACAAGCCTTTTTAGCTCCACATTCAGAGTAGATGGAGATCAGGCTACTTCCTACTGTTCCCTCTGCCAGCATCTTCATCTTTTCTCTGGCTTCTCTCAGTGGTTTTAACTTGTCTGTCTAATTCCGTGCTTGTCTTTGTAGATTTTAACAGTGGTCCTTTTACAACATGCCACGGCCTGAAATCCTTGTGATTTTTTTTTTTTACATCTTCAGGTTAAGGATCCTGCTCTACATGAGCTGGTCTTCCTGCTCCTCTCTGAATCTTTCAAAATACTGTTCTCGGCCCTTGACCAACCTCCTGTGATGCCTCTTTCCTGGCTGTTTCTAGCTTGGGTGCCATCTAGAGAGGTGGCGGAAGGATGTGACACAGGTAAAGGAGCAGATGTGAAGAGGCTGAGGGATGATGTGAGCACATGTTAAGTTTGAGGTTTCTGTGTTTCATCCAGGAGGAGAAGACGGACCATTCTTTAGAAAGATGTCTTCATCTTAGGTGAAGGGCAGAGGTGTGACAATGAAATATGTGTGAACTAGCTTACATGTGGATTTGACCACGAGGAGGTGGGTAGAGATGCTCAAAGTGAGATTAGGAGATAGAAAAGGGCCAAGGAGAGAGGAAGCTTGAGAAATAGTAACATATTCTAAGGATGAACAGAGTATAAAGATAATGTCAGTGGGGGAGATTGAAAAGACAAGGCTGGAAGGTAATGGAACTCTCCTGTGCAAAGAAAGTGCTAAAGTGTCCTGTTTTTCTCTTCCTCAGGAGAAGACACGGTGTCCGACAACCCTGTCTATCGTTAAAGACCCAAACCTAACGGAAAATCAGGAGGAGGATGACAATGTCTTTGACCCTCCCATTGATCTGTCCTCTGATGAAGAATATTATATTGAAGAAAGCAGATCTGCTAGGTTTAAAAAGTCAGGCAAGGAACGCATCGATAATATCAAAAAGGCCTTTTCCAAAGAGAACATGCAGAAGACGCGGCAGAACATCGACAAGAAAGTGAACAGAATTCGAACTAGGATCGTGACCCCTGAGAGGAGAGAGAGGCTTAGGCAGTCAGGCGAGAGGCTGAAGCAGTCTGGAGAGAGGCTGAGGCAGTCTGGGGAGAGATTTAAGAAATCCATTTCGAATGCAGCACCTTCCAAGGAAGCGTTTAAGATGCGAAGCCTTAGAAAAACAAAGGCCCGAACTGGGGCTGAGGGCCAGGAGGGCATCAAGGACATGGGCGTCGACATCATTGCCAGGAGCGAGCTGGGCCCCATCAGTGAGCTGTACCCCGACGAGCTCAGTGGAACAGAACGTGAAGAGGCCAGAGAAGCATATCCTCCCCACGAAGAAGGGGACGTCCCAACCCCTGAGCCTCTAAAGGTTACTTTCAAACCTCAGGTCAAAGTAGAGGATGATGAATCTCTCTTGTTAGACTTAAAGCAGTCAGCGTAAAGAGGAATTAAGCCCATGTTGAGCCTGTATGTACTTCATCATGCAATTCTAGTTTTGCAGGGTCATTTACATTTGTGTATCAAATAGGAAAATACATAAGTGCTGTAGTTACTTAATTTGTTTAAAATCTTAAAAGAACATAATCATCACCTATTTCTTTGGGAATTCCTCCCTCTCCCTGAATACATATGATTCTAGCAGCCCCTCTGTCTGTCTTTCTCATGGCAGCTGTGAATTTTAAGTTTCTATATTGCTCATCAGAAGAAAAAACTTTCTCCTTGGACCAGTGTGGTATTTGCTAGTCTGCAACAGATGAAGGACACGTTTGTGGCCATCATTTCAAGTGATCTGTAAATTTTGATCCAAGTTAATGTGGTGAATGTAAGGGAAATTATACGTGAATTTTACCACCCATATGTTCCCATCAACAGATTTGTTAGGAAGTTAGCAGACGCCCCTCTTTCTTAGGCATTTGCACGTAAAAATTCATGTCCCAGCCTTGAAACATTTGGCTCGAGCATCGGAATTTCTAGCAATCATCTGCTTCTTTTCATTGGTAAAATGGAGAGATTACCCTGCCCTGCCCACCCCAAAGAACTGTTGTGAAGATCAGAAGGATGCATTTTACGCCCAAGAACAGAAGGTTCATCCAGAGAAGACACGTCCCACTGATTCCTCAAAAAACAGAATCAGAATTTGTTGTCCTTTCCACCTTTGGAAGATAACCCAGGTGCCGAGCCAAGGGGACCTAGGCTGGACAAAAATTTACAAGGGGGCCCTTTAGAGTAGTGAGAGAAGACATTCACCCTGAAACCCACAGCGTCCCTTTTCAGCAGGAAGTAGCTAAGAGAATATGCCATCCCCTTTTCCTTATGAATCAGGGTGAAGTCTCTCTCAGGGAGGAGTGATAGGGAATGGCAAGGGACACACTGACAAAGGAGATTAATCAGAACTGGCTTTGACAAGCACTGTGGCAATTGGACAATTAAAACAGACATTGGAGGGGGGAAAAAAGAATGAACTGGGGAGGAGGGTAGAGAAAACGTGTAACAATGAATGAATGGAAACCCAAAATCTCTGTAAATGTTCATTAAAATGAATAAAATTTAATAAAAAAAATTTAGATTTGAGAAGCCATGTCATAGAGTCACGAATAAAAAAAAAATAAATGCATGGGTGAAATGATGTTTCCACCCCCCCCAAAGATTTAAAACCACATCTTGGGTTTTGAGTTGGTTCTTAAAGTGTTTCCCGGGAAATCCAGTTTTCTTTTCCTTTAGGTCTCTGGTGGACTGGAGCAGGGTGAAGCATGGAACAGCAGCTGTTGTCTTCATGTGGCTGTTCTAAAGTCAGTCCTGCTGCAGTGGGTTTGGAAATGACCTCAGATACTTAATGTTTTCCAGAGTGAATTCCTCAGGGCCCATCTGTACATAAACACTGTTCATAGCATAGTTTTGGGAGGAAGCCAGATTCAGCATATTAGCTTTTAGGGCCGTCCAAGCTGGAAGTAGACGTCCTGCTTGTTCTGCACTTTTGATGTGTTTAAATCTTCCAAGTTTATGAGGGGGAAGAAACTATGGAATTGTTGAATAGGGAGAACTTAGACAACCACGAGATAACACCCCATGTTTTAAAAATTTTCAGTTCAATTTTGTCATGGTTGTGTCACCAATACAATTAATTGCTATTGAGTGGGAGCTGACTCATAGCAGACCCTTCAGTGGGCTCTCGGGCAGTAAGTCCTACAGAGGGACATTGCCCGTTGAAAAGGAGCAGCTGGTGCATGTAGACCTCCTGCTTTTAGATTGGCATCACAACTCCTTACCCACTTAGGCCACCAGAGCTGTGTGGTGGTGGTAGTTAAAAATGGGTGTACGGTGGCTAAAAATGATAATAAAAGCATTCTCTCATACACACATGCTCTGACATACACAAATCAGCTTTAAAACATTTTATTCCTATCTGAAAGTTTGGCTCAGTTTTATTTTTTCTTTATTTGTGCAGATAATCTTAAATCATTCATCTTGGGATTTTTATATTGAAAAGTATAGACAACATTGAAAATAATAGTTTTTAAAAATT